TGTGCAATATGTGCTATATAAATATAACATTATTATTATTATTATCATGTGACCAGCATAGGATAGGGCCGTTCCACTAAGCTCCACCCCTTGGATACTGTTGCTGTAGTGTGGGACCTTAAATAGTGTAAACATACTTCTTGGTTGTTTGTGGACACATGCAGGTATTCCTGGCTGTTGAATAACAGCTTCTGATTGGTCAGTTGTTGGGTTAGATTGACACTCCTTAGAGGTGCATTACACTAGTCATCTGTCATCCACAGCCTTAAGCTCTGTCCAGGTTATCAAATATTCTTTGACAAAAAAATGTTGTGTACCAATATGTACCTATATATATGGTCACATGATATAAGGTCATCATGACCATATTTAGGCAAGTCACATGTTTTTGTCAAATAAAATGTGATAGTCACCTGTGTTTGAATCAACTTCTTGAGTATCTTTGCCGAACATGTAAAGCTCGCCCTCTTTAGTCACCATAGCACTGCTGCCGCTGTTACATGCCGCAAATACCGTATGCTTTCCATCCATTTTGAGCACTTTCTTAGGTTTGTTTGGTTTGGCGTTCCTCTGTCCTTTCACTAGTAATCAAATACAATTCAGAATTAATTTCAGAATTATAAGAGGTTGTTAATGAAGATTTAATAAGGTACATAACTGACAGAGATTGAAACCAAAACCATCATAACACAATTCCAATAAAATTATTATTAATAATGTCAATATATATAGACAGACAATAAACAGAATCAAAACAAAATCCTAATTCTGCCACAAAAGCAAAATATACTGATATTCATGTTGTATGTAATCAATCAAAATCTACAGCCACATCAAATCCAGTGCAAAAAGAATTTGTGCATACATGATCATTGCATAAACAAAAGGAAAAGTCATGCATCATAGTAAGGAATTAATGACAATTGTTCCTAAGAAGTTACATGCAAATTTTTGTGCACAAGTGATAATTGTTTCGATGGAAAACTAGCCAAAAGTAAATTTTAAAATTTCCAAAATATTTAGTAAATATGAAGATGAGGAATGCATTTTACATACCTTGATCTCCGTCTTCTCCCCGTCTTGCGAGCCCAGTGAAATAAACAGCGCCATCATCGGCTACCATGAGGGCATGGTGGCCCTCATGTCCAACGGCACACTGGACAATCTTGGGTGACTTCTGTATCGTGAGGGGTGTCCACTTGGTTGCCCCTTGCCCCTCCCGTTTCATGCCCAGGCTATGAGCTTTGCCAGCAAACATTACCTGGCAATAAACAAGAAAGATATCTTGAAAATGGATACAAACGCAATATTAATCTTTATATTCTCTTTTTATATATTTTTCATTGTATTGCTATTACATAACAACATAAATATGAAATAATTTATGCACAGGGATGTAGTATAGGAAATTATACTAAAGACACAATGCGCTAAAAAGCCAACAAGAGGTTACGGGAAATAATGACTATAAATAATCAAAATTTCACGAATCTAATGTCAAAAAGTAGCCAATAAACATTTCTATTTGGTATTTTATGTATATGAATGGATTAAAAAAATGTGTATATTATATTTATATAGATGCAGAAATTGGCTTAATCTCTATTTTTAAAAAAAATTAAGTTTTAATATTCGATTTCACAGATGTGTTCTTTTGTGCAATTTTTATTTGAATTTTAATGACTTTTAGTCACTTTAATGACTTTTAGCCACTTCGGTTTTTAACTGCCAGCCATGGATATATGTATTTTATACCGAATTAAAAAAATTAATAATGAAGTTAATAAAATAACTTGAATGTAATATGAAACAGACAACAAAATAATAATATTGATATCAACAATGTTCCTATACCGATTAGCATTAAGACCAACTCAGACAATGTCGTACAACACAGCCCAACGTGATTTGTTGTCGTGTCCGGTCTGTGTGAGTTTGTGAGACGCAATGGTCGGGGGCAGTCTTGTCACAGAATATTAACCATGCTTAATATTTCTCACGACGGCTTAAGACTGTCCTCAACGATGAATTGCATCAGGTTGTGCGACGCTGTCTGAGTTGACCTTTAAGTAATAAATTCTCAATGCTGCATTACTTAATCACAGCCAACGGCCAACCATGCTTTAGTTTAAGGAGTACGTTTAATTATAAAGGGCCACATCTTTATTTTTAATTCTATCAAAATATCAAACTCCAAGAGCTCAATCACCCAGCGCATAGACATGATGCGCTATACAAATCCAACAATTATTATTATTATTACTTCCACAGAACATCAAGAAAAAAAATGAGGTAATAATCTAAGATATTATTTTAGAATATGAACAGTTACAAGATCTAGCTAGGCTATGCTAGTGTTTACCTTTCCAGCATTGGTGCGTGCAAAGGCGAAATCTTTGCCAGCTGTTATTTCTAAGCAATCAATGTCTGCTCCTAGATCTGGAAATGAAAACATTTAATATTTTCCTGTTATTGTCAATAGACAAAATTAACAATATATAAATACTGATAACAAAACTAAATAACAAATGTGTTTCTCATATTCAATATAATAATAATAATAAACTTTTAAAGCGCCGGTATCCGTTTAAAGAAAACGCTCATGGCGCCCCTTCAAAAGAAGTAAAAAATATGACCACCAAAAGAAACAATAATATATATTCTTACCAAGTATATGTTTTGTTTTGTCTTTGGCTTGGTCTGTAAGTGGTGGGCCGTAGACTTCTGTGCTTTTTCTGGCAAGTTTCACGTACAAATCACTTCCCTTTTGTTGACCCATGTTGGAGGGATGCCAAGTTTGAATCCGGAATGTGTCCTTATTAAGAAAATCAATTTATAAGGTTTTACTTACTGATAATAATGTACCTATGTGTGGTCATGGTGATTTTTATTAAAATTATTCTTTCAAAAGTACACAGTATGCTCACCTGGTCTGTTGCTGTTACAGAACCAATCTGCTCACCATCACTGAACATAACAGCTGGGACAGAGTTACCTGAAATTAAAAAAACATGTGACATGCCCAAATATGGTCATGATGACAACACATCATGACCATGTATAGGCACATTATGACTATATATGGGCATATAGAAGTTTTAAAGTCTGAACAGAGCTTTATACTAGGGCGCTTTGATTGCATGACGCGGTAGAATCTATAATTTAATGACGTCACTAATATTTCATCTGCGCATGCTAGAACATTCAGTTCTCGTTGTGTGCGTTCTAGGACACAACTTGGCCAAAATTTTTGTTGTGTAGAGAACGCATGACTAAATCCGCTATAGAATCGCATCGTCACGCAAATCGAAAGCATCCTAGGGATACATTTGATACGTTTAGAGGTAAATGCAAGCAAAACCGATTGCTTATGAGGTAAACGTTAGAGAATAACTCATGCGGCGTCATAGTGCTTCATGTTAACATTACTCTACAATGACTGGGGCTAAAATGAACCAGATAATCGTGGTAGTCCACTACTACTAAACTTGCATTGGGCTCCGTACATTTTTAAGTAATTATATGAAGAGGGTTCTCAAACCAGCGACAATTAATGTGGCACGTCTGCCTTATCGGACACTCGATTGGCAAAGATCAGATATAGATCATTTCTTACAGATACCTCTGCAGGTAAATTAAAGGTAAATGTGTTTCATGTAAAGCAATGTCCAGATTATCATACTGTATTTGACAAAAACAAGTGACATGTCTAAATATGGTCATGATGACATCACATTATGACCATATATAGACACATCATGACTATATATGGGCATACAACAGTTTTTCGTCAAAGAAAATTTGATAATCTGGAGCAAGCTTACAGCTTTGTCTACACTATCAAATTTTTTATGTGACAAAAAATGTGATGTGCCCATATATGGGTACGATGACGTCATATCACATATCATCAAATTGTATCAAAAAATGTTGAACGCATTCAACTCTATGTTCCATCAAATTTTATGTGATCCTTTTTTGTGATAAAATTTGATAGTGTAGACAAAGCTTTAAATACCACAAAGAAAACGTAAACATGACTAACCTGGGATGGGTAAAGGTGAGGTTTGGTCTTCTACTAGTTTCTCTGATTGAATATGCCTGACTTGTCCAGGTTTTTCACGTGAACAGAACAAGAGCCGGCCATTAACCACTCCAAGCCACCCTGGGTGGTCTTTAGAAAACTCAGGATTTTGATGGTAAATATGACCCTAGCCAAGAAATAAAATGATCTATTACATAAAAATATAACAAGCATCAAAATCTGTTTTAACATATGCGGTTTGCCATCCAAACACAGAGTACTGTCGCTAAATGTTGAACTGAGAGATTTTCATCAGCTCATCTGTTATTTCAGCATCCTCATCCTCGTCTTCTTGCTTCTCGCTGATGTTACTTAGAGCAATTGCCCGTTCCTGAACTTCACGTTTGAGAAGGCACTGTCGGACCGCTGCGTATACATTAAAAGCTGATGGATTGCTCTGTAGTTCGACGAGCGGTGCCTGCAGATTACCTGTCTCTTATACACATCTAGATACAAATCAATTGTGATGTTGGTAGTTTATGAATGAGATACTCACTTGGATAAACCGACTAATTCAAAAGCAGTCGCTTTATCCAGGTAAGTATTTATGAAATAGAGTGCCATCTTTCTTGGAAACCTATGTTTCTAAAATAATGTCAAGCTGATGTAAAGCATCTCCTTACCCTAATAGTGCCCGCATATCCAGTGCCCACTCTGTAAAGTCCATCATTATTGTGAATGTACATAAAAGCACCGTCAGTAGCTATTGTCGCAGGTTGCGTACTGCTTCTGATACCTACACGAAACGTTCAAGAAATATTTATCAACTGTCAACTACACTGCTGTTAACTAAGTAAGTCACCATGAAGGAATAGGCTCAGAAACTAAACAACTGTCCAGACTACCAAATTTTATGACAAAAACCTGTGACATGCCTAAATATGGTCATGATGACATCACATCATGACCATATATAGCCACATCATGACCATATATAGGCATATCATGACTATTTATGGGCATACAACAGTTTTTGTCAAAGATTTAGTATGGACAGAGAGCTTTAAGAAATATTAATAATAAATAATAATAGTTGGATTTGCATACACCATGCATTTTATCAGGTATATTTTGAAGCAGCGCCACCAACATCTTGCAACTTTTCAGGATTATCAGCAACCTACCCTGAGCAGCTGTTTTAGTGTTTAGTTACAAATAGAAGCTTGCAGCGGATAATGCTGCTAGACCTTTGCTATAGCAGCAACAGACAAGAGGTACAATCTTCTGCTAATTACTCTATGTAAACACTGAAATAGATTTTTTTTTGTTTTTAATATCAACATTTTGTTCTTTTTTCATTTTAAAATATTTGTTCTCGTTAGTAATTTAGTTTTACCCGAAATGCTAAACCTAATGAAGTTCTCCAGTGGTAGTTGCCAGGTTCTCGGAAATTTTCATTTCAAATTTAGCGAAAATGGTGTGTAGCGCATCATGCAAAAAGCCTCTATGCATCTAGTGATTAAGCTCTTTGAGTTTTGATAATTTTAAAGTTGATGTGGCCCTATAAAACTAAAGCTACTCCTTCAACTAAAGCATGGTTGGATGTATGCTCAGAGGAGGCCCTATAAAACTAAAGCTATTCCTTCAACTAAAGCATGGTTGGATGTAGGCTCAGAGGAGGCCCTATAAAACTAAACCTACTCCTTCAACTAAAGCATGGTTGGATGTAGGCTCAGAGGAGTTATCTACAGTATGCTATACAGTGGTTGTACAAGAAAAAAAAAGGTGTGTACCATGTATTTTCCATTTCTCCACTTGTGATTGGTCCGTGACACCGTCAGTCTCCCAGTCCGGCTGACATATGCTACCAATTAATACCGACTGTAAGCTACGTTGGAGGTTAGAAACAATTGCTGGAATCTGCAATTTTAATTTAAAAAAATTATGATAAACAAATTTACAGAGCAATTCATAACTTTAGATATTATGAGCCTTATTACATCAAATTTATCGAAATACAGCCCTGTTAAGACAAAAACATACCTAAATATGGTCATGATGACATCACATCATGATTATATATAGTCACATCATGACTAAATATGGGCATATAATAGTTTTTTGTAAAAAAAGAAATTTGATAATCTGGACAGTGCTTTAAATGTTTAGTTTATTCACACTTACCTTCATCTGATTACCAGTCATGTGGTGCGGGCTCATAAGTATTGCTGATACTGCCGACAACAACTTGCCCGTGTCGCCACGGGCTATCACCATACTCAACAGACATGATGTGCTAAGCGAGAGCAGTTCTTTAGCCCGTCTAGCTGGTGTGTCGGGGCTACATGGACTAGTGGACAACTGTAGAAGCAGTTGGAACAGTGAGTCTGTGGGCAAATTGACTTTTTGTTAATGATTTTCATTTTCCAATATTTCTGAATTCTCACATCAATAGCACTGCTCTCAGATATCAAGAAAAAATACATTGAGATTAACTTCATTAGTAAGGGAGAGAAAACACACGAGATGACGAGATAAAATAAAGAGGGTGAGATATCTTTAATATCAATCTCAGGTATCATTAGATCAGTTGGCGAGTAACATGGGTACATTTACTAAATCACACTAACGCTCGGCACAGACTCAATACACATTTTCTAATCAGACTGTCTCTGATAACTTAGGCTTGTTTCAGAAATATCTGTTCAAACAAATAGTGCCTTACACTTCACACAAGGACCTACTTCGCCAAACGTGATGCAACATAAAACAGCATATTTTATCTCCTGATAGTTCTTACCCATTACTTCTGGTGGTTCTTTTGATAGGCCCTCCGGTGTTTGTCCTTGCAACATATCTAGAAGAGCTTCCATCGCCCGAAAGCACAGGTGTGGGTGAGTTCTATAGGTTTCCCGCACAAGCTCAAACATACTCCGTAGGCCTATTCCTACAATCTACGCACAAAAAAGTACAGTAGGTAATTCAGATCATTTCCTTAAATTATTATTTTTTAAATACAAATCATCAAAAGGTTTTAATAAGTCTTCACAACTAATCCATGTAGGAATATTGATTGTATCCAATGAATCTGGAATCCACATTACTAACTGATTCTGGTGCTGATACAGGTATTTATAATGTGCCTCTTACTTGAGGTTATGAATCACAGTTCTAAGAATCTGTCTGTGCACTATCTTGTTTTGTGTATCAAATGAGTGTGATATGACATCATCATTTCCATATATAAGGTGATACAGGGATGTAGATATGGTGGGCGTAGATGGGTGGGGCCACCAGCCTTGAAGTTTTCCATCCAGTCTAAAGCAAATTTCATGGACCTCTACCCACCCTTATTAACCCACATTTCCATCCTTAAAATCCACTCTTATTATTTAGAGTTTAGCAATTTTATCACCTACCCACCCTTAAAATGTCTATCAACCATCCTTAGTTTTTTACAGCTACAACCCCGCTGATATGACTTCTTAAGTCCATATGAGCAAATACCACAAATTTGTTGCACAAAACTTGATAGTGGATAAAGCTTAAGGAATAAAGTCCCATGCCAACCTTTGGTAGTTTCATCAGCTCATCTGTTATTTCAGCATCCTCATCCTCGTCTTCTTGCTTCTCGCTGATGTTACTTAGAGCAATTGCCCGTTCCTGAACTTCACGTTTGAGAAGGCACTGTCGGACCGCTGCGTATACATTAAAAGCTGATGGATTGCTCTGTAGTTCGACGAGCGGTGCCTGCAGATTACTATTGTCCAAGGAACATTCCGCCTAATTGGAAATAATAAAACATTACTAAAACAACATTACAAAATAACTAGTGAAAATACCCCCATTAACATCCATTATGTAAAAAAAAAGGTTTTTGAATAATTAAATGTTAATACTGTTAAAGGAAGCTGTTAACTACCTGTAAGCAATCATGTTAACAGTTATCATTATTTGCATTAATTCTATTGAGGGATTCCTTTAAACACAGAACTGAGATATTTCATTTATTAAAAATGTTAAAATGTTTGAGATTCTATGAAATACAAACTACAATGTCAAAAAATAGGAAGTTTTAAAATACACATACTTTTTCCTTTACACCTTTTTTACTCTTTTTCTTTGTCTTCTTTTTCACGGAACTCTTTTTTCTGTAAGTTAAAGAAACATTTGGAAAAATATTTGATGCCAGATGATGTCCAAGAAAAGGCACAGCACCTGGCCATGTTAACAAAATAAAATAAAACATGTCAACCAAAATACAGAAGAAAAAAAAATAATGTGCTTGAATAGGCCTAGAACATTATGATGTTATAATTAACACCCACAACACGAAAAGTTCCATTTTCAGTTGTAATAAAAGTGTCTCGGTCGGGAGCTGTGTATGTGGCTTGCAAGATTCAATAAATATGACGTAGGGCTAGGCCCTAGTTAGTTGGCTAAGCTTAATGGTTTATGCACCTACCTTGGGAGGGCATAGATAGGACCAAGCCAAGGTTAGATATTTGGTTTAGCTTCACTTTATAGCCTAGGCTACAGTAAGTAAGAGAGGCCTGAAGTTAGTAAGTAGGCTAGGCCTAACCTCTAGCCTAGGTAGGGTAACGTTTCATGGCAGATGAACTGAGTATGTTTAAATTATATTTTAAATTAACAATTAAACTTACTTATCTGTATCTTCTTTGTCTTTCACAGAAAATAGATTGTAAAATTTCAGGCCCATTGGATCCCCAACCAGGAAGTCACTTTCCCGATGGTCGATGTTCGACGATTCAAGAGACATGCTAGCCTAATTGTCGTAGAATGTCGCCTGGCCTTCGGCCTAGCTTCCAAACCTGAAGTCATTCACACACAGAAAACGTGTACTAAGTTACAATTTTCCTTAAATTCAGCGAACAGTCTTATATCTCGATCGTCGGAATTTAGTGAAAGAGTAAACATTAGTTTTGGCTGATCAACTGTTTTGCAAAACGGATTTTTTCCAGGTTTCTCTTGCAAAACGCTAGTCAATTAATAGAACGCAAATATCTGTTGCATTGAGTCTACGACCGGTACATGGGAAAAGCTAATCAAAAAAGGGGGCGCTAATACACTTACAAATTATATAACCAAAATGACACTCCCATCTCCATCGAAGAAGGTATTACATTTATTTAATAGACTTGCTCCATTTTGTTACTATAAGTTATAATCATGTAAATAAAAACAGAATAATAAAATTTGGCATACGACATGTCTTCTTATATAGGGCCTATGTGTGTGTAAAACCTAGAGGCACACGCCAATCTCCTCGCCCAAATTTCTCCCACTCAGTCACGGCTCATTACCCATCTTCATCCACGATATTATCATGATTATTATTATCTTACAAAATATATTTATTAATGGTAACATCTAAATAATTTGTATAATAATATTTAATAATATGACAAAAATAAAGATAATAATAATAATAATAATAATAATAATAATAATAATAATAATAATAATAATAATAATAATAATAATAATAATAATACAAATAATGTGTATAAAATAAACATAGGCCCTAATATTAAAAGGCAAGATTGGAAAACAACTGTGATGTGTGGATGGCTGTATCTCGGTATAGATGAAATTAACCAGCTAAAGCAAAATTACTTATTCTTATTAGACATTAAGATTTGAAAAATGTATTATTGCTAATAATTGAATACGATTTTCTGAAGAGCCACAGAAGCAGAAGTGTGCTGGGATCATAACTCCGAAGTCCGAAACCTCGCTCTGCTAATTGTATATTAATTTTAATAATAAATCAATAGCGTCAAACGTCCTTCAAAATTAAATATCGATTTTCTAAAGCAGATTTGTGTAAGAAGCATAGTGGCGCAGCGGGAGCGTGCTGGGCCCATAACCCATAGGTCCGAGGATCGAAACCTCGCTCTGCTAGAACATTTCTGTTTATTTTTTTTTATATAAATGAAGATCGTTAAACTTATATCCTTCAAAAGTGAATATCGATTTTTTGAAGCAGATTTAAGAAGCAGAGTGGCGCAGCGGGAGCGTGCTGGGCCCATAACCCAGAGGTCCGAGGATCGAAACCTCGCTCTGCTAGAACATTTCTATTCATTTTTTATATAAATGAAGAGCGTAAACTTATATCTTTCAAAAGTGAATATCGATTTTCTGAAACAAATTCGTGTGAGGAGCAGAGTGGCGCAGCGGAAGCGTGCTAAGCCCATAACCCAGAGGTCCGAGGATCGAAACCTCGCTCTGCTAGACCACTTCTATTCATTTTTTATATAAATGAGGATCGTAAACTTATATCCTTCAAAAGTGAAATTAACCAGCTAAAGCAAAATTACTTATTCTTATTAGACATTAAGATTTGAAAAATGTATTATTGCTAATAATTGAATACGATTTTCTGAAGAGCCACAGAAGCAGAAGTGTGCTGGGATCATAACTCCGAAGTCCGAAACCTCGATCTGCTAATTGTATATTAATTTTAATAATAAATCAATAGCGTCAAACGTCCTTCAAAAGTAAATATCGATTTTCTGAAGCAGATTTGTGTAAGAAGCAGAGTGGCGCAGTGGGAGCGTGCTGGGCCCATAACCCAGAGGTCCGAGGATCGAAACCTCGCTCTGCTAGACCACTTCTATTCATTTTTTTTATATAAATGAGGAGCGTAAACTTATATCCTTCAAAAGTGAATATCGATTTTCTGAAGCAGAGTGGCGCAGCGGGAGCGTGCTGGGCCAATAACCCAGAGGTCCGAGGATCGAAACCTCGCTCTGCTAGAACATTTCTATTCCTTTTTTTTTCATTTATATAAATGAAGCGCGTAAACTTATATCCTTCAAAAGTGAATATCGATTTTCCGGAACAAAATTCGTGTGAGGAGCAGAGTGGCGCAGCTGGAGCGTGCTGGGCCCATAACCCAGAGGTCCGAGAATCGAAACCTCGCTCTGCTAGAACATTTATATTTATTTTTTATATAAATGACTTGAAGAGCGTAAACTTATATCCTTCAAAAGTGAATATCGATTTTCTGAAACAAAACTTCGTGTGAGGAGCAGAGTGGCGCAGCGGGAGCGTGTTGGGCCCATAACCCAGAGGTCCAAGGATCGAAACCTCGCTCTGCTAGAACATATCTATTCATTTTTTATATAAATGAAGAGCGTAAACTTATATCCTTCAAAAGTGAATATCGATTTTCTGAAACAAATTCGTGTGAGGAGCAGAGTGGCGCAGCGGGAGCGTGCTGGGCCCATAACACAGAGGTCCGAGAATCGAAACCTCGCTCTGCTGGAACATTTCTATTCATTTTTTATATAAATGAAGAGCGTAAACTTATATCTTTCAAAAGTGAATATCGATTTTCTGAAACAAATTCGTCTAAGGAGCAGAGTGGCGCAGCGGGAGCGTGCTGGGCCCATAACCCAGAGGTCCGAGAATCGAAACCTCGCTCTGCTAGAACATATCTATTCATTTTTCATTTATATAAATGAAGAGCGTAAACTTATATCCTTCAAAAAGTGAATATCGATTTTCTGAAACAAATTCGTGTGAGGAGCAGAGTGGCGCAGCGGAAGCGTGCTGGGCCCATAACACATTAAGATTTGAAAAATGTATTATTGCTAATAATTGAATACGATTTTCTGAAGAGCCACAGAAGCAGAAGTGTGCTGGGATCATAACTCCGAAGTCCGAAACCTCGATCTGCTAATTGTATATTAATTTTAATAATAAATCAATAGCGTCAAACGTCCTTCAAAAGTAAATATCGATTTTCTGAAGCAGATCTGTGTAAGAAGCAGAGTGGCGCAGTGGGAGCGTGCTGGGCCCATAACCCAGAGGTCCGAGGATCGAAACCTCGCTCTGCTAGACCACTTCTATTCATTTTTTTTTATATAAATGAGGAGCGTTAAACTTAAATCGTTTAAAAAGCGAGTTTCGAATTTTTAAAGTGCTTTGTGGAAGCAGCAGAGTGGCGTAGCGGAAGCGGACTGGCCAATAACCCAGAGGTGCGAGGATCGAACCTTAATGTGCTAGAAATTTTTAAATTTCTTTCATATAAAGAAATAGCGTTAAACGTCGATCCGAGGATCGTAAACCTCGCTCTATTAAAACATTTTCTATTTTGTTTAATATAAGTAAATAGCGTTACTTATCGATCAAAAAGTAATTTTGATTTTGTGAAAGACCTTTGTGTAAGAAGCAGAATTAAAGGGGGTCCGGGGTTCCTCCATAAGAAAATGTTGATTCCTAGATGGCAAGAAATGGTTTCCCAACTTCCGAGGTGTCTTTTAATGAAAAGTCCTTCAAAATTTAAGGTTTCCCCCTCTCAAAAACGGTCAGTTAATCTCATTCTTATTACAGTATATAGGCCTACTATGTGTGTATATACATAAAATTGAGTAGGCCTATATGCATACATAGGCCTATTCTTTTTTTCATGAATCGATAAACACCAGAAAGAAAGGGGTCCGGCGGTCCTCCAAGTGGCGTGTAATAATTCTTGAAATGGAGGGTGAGGGGGGGGGGCGAAGGTGAAGTGGGAAGGGGTTCGATGATCGATTGAGGGGTGCTAATTTGCAAAATAAAGTGGTTTTAGGTGTTTTTTTAAAGAACTTGACAGTGATTTTGGGGGGCCCACTGGGGTGGGGACAAGTAGTTTTTAGAGGGGCGTGCGCCACCCCGCGCACTCCCTACGTCACTGGGTCCTCCCCTGAAAAAATGTTGATACCTAAATGGCAGGAAATGTACTTTCCCAACTTCTATTTTGGGAAATAAAAAAGGTCTAGATTTTTTTTTTTATTTATATATTTTTTTTGCCCGGGGGTGGGGTCAGTACCCCGACCCCCACTCAGATCCGTCAATGAGATAGCGTTAAACTCTAGTAGCGCTTAAAAAGTGAATTTCAATTTTCTGAAGCTGGAGCTTGTATAAGAAACAGAGGTGGCGCAGCGGAAGCGTGCTCTGCTCTGCATGAAAACCTTGCTCTGTAAAGAATTTTGTTTATATTTATTGTTAAACCACAACGTATCATTTCAAGAAGTGAAGGCGATTTTCTGAATTGACTTGCATAAGAAGCAGAGTGGCGCAGCGGGAGCGTGCTG